TCCAGCTCCTCCCTGGTGCTCTCGTGCCAGCGGGGGATGTCCACATGCAGGGAGTAGTCGCAGCAGGCCCCACCGTCCGCTCGCTCCCGCCACTGCTCGTAGGCCGCCAGCAGGCTCACCCCCGCCTCGGGGAACACGTGGTCCACTGCAGGGACAGCACGCTCGGCTAAGTCCCCCCTCTGGCCACCGCAACCACCTGGGTCTCCAAGGGAGAGTGGCTTCGTGCTCCCCAGACCAGGAGGCACATTTGAGGAAAGCAGAGGACAGACCTCGAGCCCTATGTGGGGCTGGGGCTGCGGGAGCTGTCCATCCGTCCTGCCCCTTGTCCCCAGCCTCTCCCTGGGCAGAGAGGGGGCCCTCGCTCCCCAGAGGACGCACCCCCAAAGAGCCTGGCCCGAGTGAGGTGCGCCTGGCGGGCGGGGGTGGGGTGTGCTGTCCACGGTGCTGAACCTTCGAGCCTGCCCACATGCCTCACTGACCACACATGCCCTGGAGAACCAGGGAGAAGCACATGGATGCTGCACTGTCCCCCCAGCCCCGCCAGCAACCCTGCGTCCACGGTCCACACCCCACTCACAACCTCTGCAAGGTGCAGGAAGAGAGCTGGGAGGGGTGGCTGGTGGGAGGGCACGCCCGAGGTTACAGGTGGACTTCGTGCCTCCCCGCACACCCCTCACGCGGGCCCCTCTGCCTCCCACGGCTCTGGCGCACACGCTGTCCTGTGGGCACTCATGGCTACAGCCCCGCGGAGGCCAGCCCATGCCTGCAGCACCTCCATCCTCAAGCCTGTCTGACACCTCTGCGCCAGCAGGAGATGCAACCAGGAGAGCATCCCGCTCAGCCCAGGCACCCCATGACTAGCAGGACCAAGGGCCTGGAATGAGAGTGTGCCCTCCTCAGACAGGAGGGCAGACCGCTGCTGGGTTTGGCCCCTTTGCAGCTCAGGAAGCCACACCGGGCCGGGGTGCCACAGCGCCTGCCCATCGCCTGTGAAGTCACCCTGAGCACCCGGAGCAGCCCTTCCCAGGAGGCAGTGGCAGTGCCCCCCCGTGTGCCCGCGTGCAGCCTGGCAACCACAGGCCCCCGCTTGTTCCACCTTCCCTCCTGCCCAAGCCCCTGCCCCCTGCCTCCTGCCCAAGCACGCAGGGAAGCATGACGTCTAACTGTGCGCTGTTTGAGGTCACCACCAGGACGCGGTGCAGCCAGGGTTGGACCAGGTCCAGCCCGAGCGGAGGCACCTGCCCTGGGCGCCGTGGAGCTGACGGGTCTCAGGGAAGGAGAGGGGCTAAACGCTGGTGTCCTGTCTGAGCTCCTGAACTGACCATGAGCAAGTTCAGGGTGGGAAGTGAACCCCTCACAAGCTGTGAACTGGGCTTCTCTGCCTTGCACGGAGCTGAGGCACATCAGAACGGGGCTTGTGCCTGGCATGGGGCCTCTGGGGGTTGTTGATCGGATAAGAGTATTTTTATCATCCTTTCTCTAAAACACCGCCTCCACCGTCTTTAGCTCTTCTGCACGCTAGCAGGTGGCTTCTGCAAACCAAGCCTCAGAGGGGGCGAGGTTCCGGGGCATATGTGTCTGGCAACACCACCCCTGAACCTGCCCAAGGCACTTGGGTTTTCCAAACCAGGTCCTTGGCCAGCTGCTGGCTTCCTAGGAAATAATGAACTACGGGCACATTCCCGTGGAAACCCCAGGAGGGCTCCAGTGCTGGCCAAGGCAGCACACTCGGGCTGAGGAACTGGGCTGGGAATAGCTGCTCAGCCCTTCTCAGGGTTCGTGCAGTCAGGAGGAACTACGGCTGGCTCAGGTTGAGGTTTTTACAGAAAACAGCAAAATTCTGTAAAGCAATTATCCTTCAATAAAAAATAAATACATTTTTAAAAAGAGAGAGAAAACCAGCCTGAGAACATTCCACCAGGAAAGGTGCTTCCTGCGACATGCAAACCCGCCAAGGCCTGAGGCTGGGACGGACCCCCCCCGCCCCCGGCCACGAACAGCACTCACATATCATGGTGGTGCCCCCCGCCAGGGCGGCCTTGGTCCCCTGGCAGAAGTCGTCGGCGGGGGTCATGCCCAGCACGGGCATCAGCAGCCGCGTGTGGACGTCGACTCCGCCTGGCAGGACCAGCAGGCCGTGGGCATCAATGGTTCTGATGCCCCCAGGGACGATGAGGTTTTCTCCAATTTGTCTGAAAGCAACAGAGATTCTGCTGGTGAGGAAGATCCCTGAGAGAACGTGAATGGGGCCCCTGGCAACGCTGCGGAGCTGGGACGCCTGCCCTTGGGCTCCCATCCTGGAAGCGAAGGGCAATACAGCCAAGGCCTAACTGGACCAGCTCCCAACACTGTTGGAGAACAAGCCAGCCCCAGGGACTCAGGACGGTCAGCACGAAGGATCCCACCCTGTGCTGGCCACTTAGGTGTCCACTTGTGGCCTTGCTGACCGGAGGCTGGAGCTGCCTGACAGATACGAGCAGAGAAACGAAAAGGTGTGGTCACTAAACATTTATTAAGCACCTACTGTGAGCCCACAGGTGCTGAAGCTGTGATAACAGAGAAACGAGGAAGCCTCATCCTGCTCTCCGAGGCCTTGCTGAAGGCGCGGGAAGGGCTGGAGTTGTTTCCAGGGACCGTGGTTGTGGGAAAGAGAGAAACACTCACGCGGATCTCACCCAGAAGTAAGCTTCCGGGCAGCAAGTGAGCAAGGTGTACACAGGTGCCCCTGAAGAGGCAGAAACTCACTTTATCAGGCCGTCCTCCACATACAGGTCAGCGTGAAAGGACTGGTCATCGTTCACGATCTTCCCCCCTCTGATCAGGAGGCGGTCACTCTGTCAAAAACAAATGAATGGGGGCAAGTTTGCCCACACCGAGTGACCCAGCGGTATGCTGAGCACAAGCTTCCCTCTGAAGTCATGATGGACACCTTCACGTGTCTGTGTGTGTCCTGCGGACACCGTCTGTGCGTGTGAGACCAGCACAGAGTCTGCAGCGTTGACCACCTCACCCCGCAGCGGTGGCCCTCGGAGGCGGCTGCTCACAGGCCCCGCACGTGACACACACCCACAGTCAGGCGGTCTGGCCTCACCTAAGACACGGCGCGAACGCCCAGCCGGCTTCCCGCGTCACCATGGCGAAGCCATGTCAGTGCGAGCAGCCGCGTGTCTGACCACGGCATGAGTGTTGCCCAATTTCTAAAGCCCAGGCCGAGGGGGCAGTGGGCCCCATCTTGCTTGGCCCCGAGGGCCTGCAAGGCCGGCCCTTCTTGTCCACCTGCAGAGGCGGCTCCGGCTGACAGCTGGGCCAAGCTCCTTCCAGAATCTCCATGGCCTGAGACAGTGCTGGGAGGCGGGGGTTAGAGCAGGCCCCGGCAGGCAGGGCCCCCCCGTGGGACAGCCACATCCCAGTGGGGGGAGACAGACGTCACACACGCAGCCATCACAGGCGGTGACCCTCATAAGCGCAGACGGGGACACGTCGGGGCTGCTGCAGGGACCGGGAAGGGCCTCTCTGAGGAGTTTATGTGGCCATGACTCAGGCCCAGGCCAGGGAGCAGCCGCGCAAAGGCCCGGGGCAGAGAGGAGCCTGGCTGATACAGGACGGGGAGGTGGGGGGCGGGGGGGTCCTGGGGTGGGACGTGCTGGGCTTGGGGGGTCAGCGGGCCACCACCAGCGCCTCAAGCTATGTCTTAAGTGCTTATAAAGAGATCACAGTGGCCTGGGTAGAAAGAGGCCCTCGTGTTCAAGGACAGACACAGGTCATGGCTGCAGTGGTGTCCGTGTCTGGATGAGATGCGGGGGCTTCCTGGCTGGGATCATGGGGTAGATGAGAGATGGACTCCAGAGAGGCTGAGAGTTGGGGGGGCAGGAGCTGATGACGGAGAAGCTATGGGGGTGCAGGCCAGGAAGACACTGGGGTGCTCGCCGGCTCTGGTGCCGCCTGGAGGTCGCCCCAAGGAGGCAAACAAATGTGTCAGGAAGTGTGGCTGTTAGGGGCACCCCCCGCCATGGAGCTGGGCCACCATCGGTCCACTTCTGACGGTTGGGATGGAGGGGAGATGGGGAGCCGGTCATGGACTGTGCAGGGTGCGCAGTGATGGCTGGGCCTCAGTGGAGCAAAATGGAGAGAAACGCAGAAAGGAAGGTGGCCGAGAGCAAGATGACGGGTGAGGACCCAGCCCTGCGGCACTTTCCCCCACGACCTTGAACCTCACACTCCCTGGGGCTCAGACAGCCGGAACCACAGCTGTTTCACGGGGGTCTGGCCCTGGCCCGGGGCTCCTGGGTGCCCACCCAAAGGCCGGGCTGGGACTCCAGCTGGGAGCTCTGGTTCTAAACCCAGTGTCAGCCTGAATCCAGAACGGAAGTGTGCAGGGCACTCAGCAGCTCTCTCAGAGGCTGGTGAGAGGATAAATAATTCATGCTTATGAGCCAGAGCACATCACTCTATTCTTATTAGCATCTAACAGTTTGGGATGAATTCTCAGATTTCTATTGACTAAAAGTAGAACCTCCACCCCAGAGTCTACGGAAGGGTGGCTGATGAGCCACAGGCCAGACGTGATCCCCAGCTTGTACAGTCTGCCCAGCCCTGCGCCAAGGATGGTTTGCATCTCATGTTGGCTGAAAGACATCATAAGAAGACTATATTGAGACTCATAAAAATTATATGAAATTCACATTTCAGCGCCCATAGCTCAACTTTACTGGAACTGCCGCACCCGTTCGTTCCCGAGTCACCTAAGATGGCTCTCCTGCTGGACTGGGGGCTGGCTGCACCAGAAGCAGTGTGGCCCTCGGAGCTGAGAGCACCCACTGGGTGCCCGCCGCCCGCGCTGGCCTACCCCGTCGCCCCGCCCCAGCAGCTGGGGCGTCTCCCTGCAGGGTCCTCGGGGGCCCATTGCCCAGCCTCCTGGGCCCCAGGCCAGACCCTGACCAGTCACATCACAAGGACCCACCTCGCCCAGCTCCCGAGCCAGTGTCAGAGCCTGGCTGCCTCCTCCTGCAGGGTTCCCACTCCAACCAACACCCGACTCCACTCAAACACGCCCAAGAAGAGGAAGCGGAAGACTTTGGGCAGGAAGACGATGGTCTGAGTCCCCATTCAATCCCCAATTTTCAGACTTTGGGCACCTTGCCAGGTTTGGAGCCAAGAAAGGAATGCAGCGGCCCTCAGGACCAGAGTGACGGTCTCCTGACCTGGCCACCTGGCCTCTGACCTCTGACCCACCCAGAAGTGGGGCCACCCTCCCCACCCCGTCCAGCCCTAGTGGGCTTCCTGCATCAGGTCAGAATCTGGGCCAGTCCTGAGGCAGGACCCCCCCTTTCTCCCTGAGTGTCTCAGGAAGTGAACTTGCAACGCCACGACCCTTCCCCGAAGCCAAGCGCAGAGCTGGGGCTGAATCCACGGGTTCCCAGGGGCAGGCCGTCCCTGGGGCCCCCAGGCACCTCCCTCCCTCTGGCCCTCCCCTTCTCCCTCCCTCCCTGGGCTCCCAGCCGCCTGGAGGGGGCGGCTTTGTTTCCTGGCAGCCCAGCCTGGACAGTCGGACCTCCCCCAGCTGGGGCGGGTGGTGTTAGAGGGTCTTCTCCAGGGAGCGAGCCGCCTGGGTGCCCGCTCAGTGACGAGGGAGCACTCTCCCCACCACCACCCGGGGCCGGGGGCCTCCAAACTCCAGCTCCAAGGAGGGTTGCAAGTGGCCAGGGGCTCCGGGGCTCCGGGGGCTGCGGCTGAGCGCAGGCCTCAGCTGCTTTGTCTGGGACAAAGAGCTCCCGGTGTGGCGGGGGCGGCCCGGGGTGGGGGGGTG